GAACTACAACTCCCATCACCCCTAGCTAGCAAGGCCAGAGCTCAGGGGTGATGGGATTTGTAGTCCAACAACATCTGGGGACCCACAGGTTGAGAACCGCTGTGCAATGTATGTCATGAGTGAAGTTGCTATCTAAACTGCAGTTAATATCGATGTAGTGAAAGCTCTTGTGATCTGGGCACCAGATTTTAAAAGGAAATTGGACAACTCCATGGAGAATGAGGCAGTAAAATGCTACCACGAGGGCTCCAAACTGCCTCCAGTATTGAAGACAATATGCCTCTGAATATCACTTACTTAGGTAAAGGTAAAGGGACCCCGGTCCAGTCGTGACCGACTCTGGGGTTGCGGCGCTCATCTTGCTTTATTGGCCGAGGGAGCCGGCGTTTGTCCGCAGACAGCTTCCGGGTCATGTGGCCAGCATGACTAAGCTGCTTCTGACGAACCAGAGCAGCACGCAGAAACGGCGTTTACCTTCCCGCCGGAGCGGTACCTATTTATCTACTTGCACTTTGACGTGCTTTCGAACTGCTAGGTTGGCAGGAGCAGGGACAGAGCAATGGGAGCTCACCCCGTCATAGGGATTTGAACCGCTGACCTTCTGATCAGCAAGTCCTAGGCTCTGTGGTTTAACCCACAGCGCCACCCGTGTCACTATCACTTACTTAAGGTAAAGGTACCCCTGCCCGTACGGGCCAGTCTTGACAGACTCTGGGGTTGTGCGCCCATCTCACTCAAGAGGCCGGGGGCCAGGGCTGTCCGGAGACACTTCCGGGTCACGTGGCCAGCGTGACAAAGCTGCATCTGGCGAGCCAGCACAGCACACGGAAACGCCGTTTACCTTCCCACCAGTAAGCGGTCCCTATTTATCTACTTGCACCCGGGGGTGCCTTCGAACTGCTAGCTTGGCAAGCGCTGGGACCGAGCAACAGGAGCGCACCCCGCCGCGGGGATTCGAACCGCCGACCTTTCGATCGGCAAGCCCTAGGCGCTGAGGCTTTTACCCACAGCGCCACCCGCGTCCCTACTTACTGGGGAGCAAAAGCGAGGAGAGTGCTCTTGCACTCAAACCTTGCTTGCAGGCTTTCCATACAAATCTGGTTGACTAGTTTGCGAACAAGATGCTGAAGTCGATTTGGTCTGACACTGCAGGACTCTTATTACATTTTCACCTATCCTTCTGAGCCCTGCCTGTTAACAACATGTATGGAGTTGATGTTTGGCTTTGACTGTTCCTAGATTAGAAGCCAGCACAAACAAGAGATCGAGAAAGAGAGAGAGAGAGATGAGTTCTGTTAATCAGCCTTTCTCAACCTGTGGGTCCCCAGATGTTGTTGAACTACAACTCCCATCACCCCTAGCTATCAAGGCCGAGCTCAGGGATGATGGGAGTTGTAGTCCAACAACATCTGGGGACCCACAGGTTGAGAACCACTGTGTTAGATGGTTTTCTTCAAAGCAGACAAATTTCCCCTGGAATAGCTGGATGCTCACAAGATCACCGGCTGAACCGGAGCCTGATCCCAGCACGCTTTTACCCTTGAATGCTGACATTCAGTGACTTTTGGTAAGTTCGCTGGTAGGAAGTTGTGTAGACAAGACCCCCGGAGTGATGAAATCCGAGGTCCTAACAAATGCCCATGCATTAAGAGATTAGTGACTCGCTGGTGATTATGAAAGGCTACCTGGCATCTTTCCAGCTTCTAAACACAGAAGCAAAATACTGCTTCATCTAAGGAAATTCGATCTTCCAGCTGAAAACTATACTGCAAGCTTTTTGTTTAAAAAAAGAAGAAGTGTTCCTGTTGCAAATAACCCCCACCCCCTGCAAGACCCTTTGCTACCAGAAGCCTCTCTCAGGAACAAGTCACTTGACCTGCTCAGTTGATGCTCTGCGATGCGTCAAGGCTCCCATTGTGTCTCCTTGAGAAGAGAGTGAAATTAAGTTAGCAAAGGATTTCTCAAAGCACCTCGTCATTCCGCACTTCCTGACATCTCTGCAGTCTGTCAACACATGAGAAGGCAGAATGCTAGTCTCGTGTGAATAGAAGGATACATTCCAGAGGTTCCTTTGAACCTGCCATGCCTGCTGTTAGAGATACTGTTGATGTACGTTTGTCAGGTTATCCGTTTTAGATCTGCATGCTTTTAATTATTTGGGAGGGGGGTAATTATTATTTTCATAACGAGACTAACTACAAAGCCCCTTCTTTTCTAGATGGGGTTCTTTGATTTCTAAATGATGGAATCTGGGGGCCTGACCAACCTAGTTCTTTTAAAAGGTGTTATTTTAAAGAGTGGTCGCAGCCTACCTACTTATTATTGGAATTCCCCCTTTTAATTGTGTTAGGTTAACCGGAAACAAGTGTGATGGCAAGGGCTGATGGGAGTTGTAGTCCAACAACATTGGAGGGCAACAGGTTGGCCAAGGCTCTAGGGGTAGGCAGAAGAAAACAAATTTGCTCCGTTGTCTATGTGACAATCTGTGTCAGCAAAGGTCTCCACCCCCCCACCCCCCCAGTCTGCTATGGCTTGAAATTGTTAATCAGCCTTTTTGTTTTTTTTAGATCGCTTTAACACAAAAGGCCATATTCAGTGTAAAATAAATAAATAAACAAATAAATCTGTTAAATTCCAACTGGAACATTTCTTCAGCGGTTCCCTAATCTCAGAGGCCCAATTGCAGAAGGAACATCACCTGCTATGGAGAAGAACAGGGAAAATTGCTGTTTGCTTGTTTTTTCAATTGCCCGTGCACTTTTCAACTATTAGTTATTGATCCTGCTTTTGACCTCGTATATATGTTTTAAAAGGGGGGGGGGTAAACAGATAAAGTACCCTCTGGTGTTTTTTTGTGCACCACACACAAAGCAGGAAGAAGTCAGGCCAAGGGCATATTGAACAGGGAGCCAGTCACCAAGATCCGATCCATGGCTTGTTGCCTGGCAACAGGCCACACTGCCAAAAGAGCCCATCTACTTTTTTTATTTTATTTTAGTGATAATAACTTGGCTTCCTTGAAATAAAAATAAAAGCATCTGACAATAATTACTACTGGGACACATGACTCGGAATTTCAAAGTTCCAGGCTAAAACTACCCATCAGCCCCTGCATTTCAGCACACTGCAAGAACTTTACATGCCAACCTCCCACAGATTATTTGGGGAGTAAGCACCATTAATCGCAATAGGACATACAGTGGTACCTCGGGTTAAGAACTTCATTCTGTTCTTAACCTGAAACTGTTCTTAACCTGAGGTACCACTTTAGCTAATGGGGCCTCCTGCTGCTGCCATGCCGCCACACGATTTCTGTTCTCATCCTGAAGCAAAGTTCTTAACCCAAGGTACTACTTCCGGGTTAGGGAGTCTGTAACCTGAAGCGTCTGTAACCCAAGGTACCACTGTACTTCTATCGGATCTCAGAAGGCTGGAAGAAGCACCCTAAGCCTTGGGTGATTCAGTGCCACTTCAAGAAGATAGCTTTGGGCTCTGTGGAGCAATGATTTGCCCTAGCATAAGGAGGTTTCCAATGTCCCTTTGGTCATGCATGTGCCACATAAAAACATTACTCAGTGTTCCAGAACAAGCCTTGGACTCTTCTGTGGTGCGATGGGGATTTCTTTTCGTCATTTCAGATAGCTGTCTCCCCCATTTACACCTAATTATCTCCGAGGCAGATTACATTAAAATAAAAATTGGCTACATTCAATCTGGTGTAGTGACATACTTACAGCACAGAACTGATAAAGTGAAACATTAAAATATAGCATTATAACTTTAAAATAAGCATTAAAACTAATAGGAAAAAGTGCATAGCAATTCATAGCAATTGTGGAGGGTTTCCTCTGTAGGTGACTCAGATGACAAATATTTTGCCTTTGAGGCATCTGAAGTGGCAGGGGGTTCTCGGGAGTATCTTAAAGGGGGGAAAGGTTTATATAGTGAGACATGTTCCTAAGATACGCAGATCCCAGCCAGTTCAATGCTTTAAAATTTAAGAGACAGCCACAACCCTTGCTTCAAAACAATGTGTTATACAATACACTCACTCCAGAGGACCAAGAAGTTACCGTATTTTTTGCCCTAAAAAGTAAGGGGGAAATGTGTGTGCGTCTTATGGAGTGAATGCAGGCTGTGCAGCTATCCCAGAAGCCAGAACAGCAAGAGGGATTGCTGCTTTCACTGCGCAGCGATCCCTCTTGCTGTTCTGGCTTCTGAGATTCAGAATATTTTTTTTCTTGTTTTCCTCCTCCAAAAACTAGGTGCGTCTTGTGGTCTGGTGCGTCTTATAGAGCGAAAAATACGGTGGTTTCATTCTTAACTGGAACAGATGTGGGGAACCATTGCCCCCAGATGTTGCTGAACTACAATTCCCATCATCCCCAGACACAGGCCTGATGGGAGTTGTAGTTCAACAAGCAACATCTGGAGGTCCCAAGGTCCCCCACTCCTGATCTAAAACACAGTACAGCAGTGAGCAGAGCCAGGCCTAACTGAGTGAAGCAACCGCCTCAAGTGGAAAATGTGGAGATGGTGGGGGGCAGCAGGGAAAGCCCCCTGCTGTCCTCCTCAGCACCTTGGCTGACGGAGCTGTGGACCTCCATTAGCAAGAGTGGGGTGGAGGACACTATCCCATTTCCATATTCAGCTGCCAGTCCATTTAGCTTCTGGGATGGGGGTGCTGTTCCCTTATCTCTCTCCTTCTCCCTCCCACCTCATTTCTTTGGGTTACATGGCCCTGTCTCAGGTAATAATAATAATAATAATAATAATAATAATAATAATAATAATGGTGTGAAAATAGATTAACCGTTTTCAATTTCAGAGTTTCAAAATTCAGTTTATGCTTAGCGAAGCAAGGAAGCTGGTCGGATCTTCTGTCAGCCAGTGAAGGTACGTTCCCGTCAAAATTCAGGTCCCTCTTGGTCCACACCAGCCGTTGCTCCGCCGGAAGGGGGAACCAGGGTAGCGACACATGCTTACGAAAGCCCACCTACCTGAGAGAGAAGTTTATTGTCGTCCTCTAGCAGCTTGACTTTTGTTTCAAGTTGTCTGATGTAGTTAGAAGATGAATCTTTAAAGGGAGGAAAGGAGAGAGAGAGAGAGAGAGAGGCAAAAATGAGAGATTAACCTTCCCAGGAGATAGTGCTTTAAAGTCAAGCAAGATAGCTTCACAATTAGACTAATGTTTCCTCTCAGCAGAAGAAGAAAGGTCAAGACAAGAACTGAAGAACAATGCCCAGGGGAACAAAGCGGGCATTTCACAGTTTGAATCCATTAATACAACAAAGACCACACACACACACACACACACACACACACACACACAGAACAGAAGCAAACCCGGGAGCAGAAAAGGCCTCTTACAACCCTTGGAGGCTTGTGCCAGTAACAGGAGCATTTCGAGAAGCTAGGCAGAAATAATGAGGTTCGGTTCAGTCTCATTCGAAAGCGGCAGAAGAGGAGACGTTTTAGGCATCAAAAGAGCAAGGGGACATCGGGGTGACCTTGTGCAGGCAGAAGGAGGCCGTCTCCTCCTTCAAAAGAGCTGAGTTTGGGAGCAGGTGGGGGGGAATGGGTTACCACTGCTCAAAAATACCTGCTTTTTATTTTGAAGGAGTATGAAAGATTTTGCATGTAGTAAGAATAAGGGAATGAGCAAAGGCGGTTATGAAGAACACCCAGCCGTTTCTGCAGTGTTTCAAGGGCATTCACATCTCTCCACATATATAATTTTCTGTTTTAGATTTCTGCAACACTGCCTTTGAAAACTGCACAGTATAGCTGCCAGAAAACTGGGACCAGGCACCACGAACGTGTTACGCCTATTTTCTATCATCGCCAGTGACTTTGGGTCCATTTCCAAGTCCGATTGCTGGTTTTGACCTTCAAAAGCCCTTGGGAGCTTTTTAGTTCGAAAAGCTTGTAAGAAATGAATTCTTACGTTTATATCCTGCCTTTCTTTTGTCACGGGATCAAAGGCAGCACAAACGTGATTCCCAGGCGGTCACCCAACTGAGCACACCTGTACCTGCTTAGCTTCAGCTAGGTGGTGGCCTCCCATGTTTTCAGACCACCCCCTGTGGAATATGAGCTGCCCAGACCTTGAGATCATCATCCGAAGTCCTTTTCCAGGTGCTCCCCATCAACTGGGATATTGCAGATGGCTGCGAGAGAAAGGGTCTTTTTCACAGTGGCCCCTTCAGTTGTGAAAAACCCTCCCCAGATACATGTGCCCAACTGTTTTCCACTTTGTAATTTTTAAACATTATAGCATGCTGCGGTTCTGGCGACAAAGTTATATTTTCCAGTTTTCGCTTCTGATCACTTTTGTTTGTTTACTTGACTTTTTAAATAGCCTGCTAAACGAAAGTCTCCAAGGGGATCATGACATATTTAAAAACATAAACATACTATAGCAGTGTCACATTCATACAAAAATGCATCTCTCTCTCTCTCTCTCTCTCTCTCTCTCTCTCTCTCACACACACACACACACACACACAACAGTACCCTAATAATAATAATAATAATAATAATAATTTATTATTTGTACCCCGCCCATCTGGCTGGGTTTCCCCAGCCACTCTGGGCGGCTTCCATAAAAACCAAAGATACAGTAAAATATCACAGATTAAAAACTTCCCTGAACAGGGCTGCCTTAAGATGTCTTCTGAATGTCAGGTAGTAGCATAACAGCTGTAGTAGCTCACTAACAGTCAAAACTTCGTTGCAATGTTTAAATCTCTTGATATTTGTTATTTATTTTATAGGTATCTCATTTGCTGATCCTTAATTTGTCTTACTGTAAACACGATTTTTTTAAAAAAAATGTTTCTGCTACCGACATCATCCAAATAACATTGGAAATAAGAGACTGCCCTCCAGTAAATGTTAGGCACCTGGTCTTTCCTTAGGTTCCAACAAATTAATATTTAATTCACCATATATCTGCCTTCCCACTGCCCAAAATAAATAAATACAAAATCCCACACACTTACTCATTGGTTGCAGATGGATGGGGGACAGAACACTGGATTTTATTTTATTTTAAAAAGGTATTTGCAATCAGCACCTGGTGATAAGTAAATGGCACATTCCATGAGTACTTTTGGATGTGCCAAGACATTCCTTGCTCCCAATAAAGTGAAGAGCATCTCTATTCATCTCCAATTGCTCCAGTAATGAAAAGTATGAAAGTTACACTCTCTCTATCAAACTATTGCCTTGAGACCTTAATCTCCATTCAGATGAAATAACCATTTGGCTCTTTACATTCTGGCCTCTGTAAGGAAACACTGGGCAATCATAATAAAATTCAATTTAACAGAGGGCAGGGTATGTGTGTGCAGAAGCAAAGGAGAGCAAAAAAACGAATCAACGGTGTTGCTGCCAGCGCTTGACGTTCAGCCTGAAAGCAAATTCAACCCATTGCCCTTCCTGTTGCTCCCTTTGAGATTAAATGCCCAACATTTGGTGAGTACGGGACCTACATTGCAAAGAGCCGACCCTTTGCCTTCAGCAAAGGGTAAGATCTGCAATAATGATTTTCTCTGCAGTAAAGAAACTGGGATAAGGAAACAAAGAATTAAAAAATGGAATAAAGAAATATCGTGCAGACAAGTCATATGCACGTATGCCCAAATCAGGGCTGTCTTAAGCATATGCGGCACCGGGGTGCAAAGAGCCACCCGGTGCCCCCCCCAGGTTGTCCAGTCCCAGGCACGCAGGAGGGTGGAGCCAGCCAGCTGCCTCAGCATCTCACTGGTTCGGTGGCCCCCAAACTCGCAGCACAGAGCCACCCGCAGCAGAAGAGCCCGCTGCGGCACTCCAACCGACAGGTGGGCTCTTCCCTGGACTCAACTCTCGGGCCCCAGACTCTTGGCCTGGCACCCCTGAGAGCCCGGCGCCCGGGTGCCCCGCACTCCTAGTGCCTATGGGTAAGACGGCCCTGGCCCAAATGTTTCTTGTTGTTGTTTAAATACCCAAAGCAGTGCTTCAGCTCAGTGGCACATCACTTGCTTTGCAAGCAGAAGGTCCCAGGTTCATCTACAGGTAGGGCTGGAGAATACTCTGGTATGAAACCCTAAAGCCACACTGCTGCTCAGTATGGACCAGGGATGGGAAGTCAATGGGCTTCCAGTTATTGCTGGACTACGGCTCCTGCCCATTGATCAGGCTGATCCCCCAGGCTTCCTGTCTCTGGTGTAGGCAAAACTAAGGGCTATGATCTTGAAGGCAGCTTCATCACCTCCATGTGACATGCACATGAAGGAGATCCATGCTGGGAGGTAGTGAGTGGCCTAAGGTCACCCAGTGAGCATCATGGCAGAGCGAGAAATTGAACCCTGTTCTCCCAAGTCCTAGTCTGACACTCCAAACACTGCACCACCCCTGGCTAGGTTGAGGCGAACCACGAACGATAGAATAAACTGTGGACCACAACAGAGCCATCACTTCAAAGGAAGGACAGAAAACAACTAGGATGTCCACAAAGGAAGCAGCACCAAGAACTGGATCTTGTGACTGGTCAATCGAGGCTCGTTTTATTGGAAGCCTATCTAATTGAGTAATGGCTGCTGCGAAAATCTCTCTTGTGCTTCTACTAAAGAAATGTCTTACTGAGTTAATTCTCTAGCTGAGGAGACGGCTTCCCACACTAGAGGTTTGGCCAGTGTAGCCACATAAGATTTTTAGATGCTCTGGCAGCATTTGTGCTGAAAAGCAAAATTTAACAGCCACTTCAGTTCCTCACAGCTGAGTTGTAAAACCTGAATGCCCTTTTCCTATCCTGAGAATCTGAAAAGCTAATTGGCTAAGTTGATATCATTTCTGCTTGTGGGACCGGAATTAAACTCATTAAAGAAGCTGTATTATTACCCTCATGAATACATGCAGATCTTAGCACAAGGGCTATTCCATCTGGTATATAGTGTAATTCAACCTCAGTTCAATCTAATTTCCCCCCTCTCCAAGCTGACAAACAACTTTGTAATTATTATTGCAGGTAAACCAAAGAATGACAGATTGCAGTAAGGCTGTTTTGCTTCAGTGATGGGGAAGTCCCATAGGGTTGCGCCTGAAGACGGTTCAAAAACTTCAGCTAGTGCAGAATTCGGCAATCAGGTTGCTCACTGGAGGAACATGGTTTGAGCATATTACACCAATCCTGGGCCAGCGGGACTGGCTGCCAATTAGTTCCTAGGCCCAGTGCTGGCCTTAAATGGCTCAGGACTGCAATACCTCAAGCACCACCTCTCTCCATATGAACTGACTCAGAACCCTGAGATCATCATCTGAGGCCCTCCATGAGGAGTCTGGAGAGCGGCAACAAAGGAATGAGTCTTTTCTGAGGTGGTTCCCCATTTGTGGAATGTTCTCCCCAGGGAGGTTTGACTGGCACCCTCGTTACATATCTTTAGACCCCAGGCAAAAACGTTATTCTTCAACCGAGCCTTTGGCCAATGTGCTTTTAAATGTGTCGTTGGAGGCGGGAATGACTGGTTTGTGTTTGTTCTTATCTTTATTATGCAGTTTGTGTTTTTTATATGGCAATTTTATGTTGTGAACTGAGATCCATGCATGAAGGGTGGCATACAAATTTAATAACCACCACCACCAGTCTTGAGGGACCAAGGGATGGTATGCAACTAAGTTTTGCTCTTGAGCAGTCCTACTGAAATTGATGGACCTAACTTATTCCTGTTCATCCATTTCAGTGGGTTATCTTAAAAAGCAGAGACATCACCTTGCCAACAAAGGTCTGTATAGTTAAAGCTATGTTTTTCCCAGTAGTGATGTATGGAAGTGAGAGCTGGACCATAAAGAAGGCTGATCGCTGAAGAATTGATGCTTTTGAATTATGGTGCTGGAGGAGACTCTTGAGAGTCCCATGGACTGCAAGAAGATCAAACCTATCCATTCTTAAGGAAATCAGCCCTGAGTGCTCACTGGAAGGACAGATCCTGAAGCTGAGGCTCCAATACTTTGGCCACCTCATGAGAAGAGAAGACTCCCTGGAAAAGACCCTGATGTTGGGAAAGATGGAGGGCACAAGGAGAAGGGGACGACAGA